TGGCTGTCCAATTTTCCCAGCACCATTTATTGAAGAGACTGTCTTTTTTCCATTGCATATTTTTTCCTGCTTTGTCGAAGATTATTTGACCATAGAGTTGAGGGTCCATATCTTGGGCTCTCTATTCTGTTCCATTGGTCTATATGTCTGTTTTTGTGCCAGTACCATGCTGTCTTGGTGATCACTGCTTTGTAACATAGCTTGAAATCGGGCAACGTGATGCCCCCAGCTTTGTTTTTCTTTTTCAACATTTCCTTGGCAATTTGGGGTCTTTAGGGCTAGTATCCAAAAATCTATGAAGAACTTCTTAAACTCAACACCCAAAAAACAAATAAGTCAAAAAATGGGCAGAAGACATGAACAGATACTTCTCCAAAGAAGACATACAAATGGCTAACAGACACATGAAAAAATTTTCATCATCATTAGCCATCAGGGAAATTCAAATCAAAACCACATTTAGATAGCACCTTACACCAGTTAGAATGGCAAAAATGGACAAGGCAAGAAACAACAAATGTTGGAGAGGTTGTGGAGAAAGGGGAACCCTCTTACACTGTTGATGGGAATGCAAGTTGGTACAGCCACTTTGGAAAACAGTGTGGAGGTGCCTCAAAAAATTAAAAATAGAGCTACCCTATGACCCAGCAATTGCACTACTGGGTATTTAGCCCAAAGGCACAGATGTAGTGAAAAGAAGGGCCATATGCACCCCAATGTTCATAGCAGCAATGTCCGCAATAGCCAAACTGTGGAAAGAGCCAAGATGCCCTTCAACAGATGAATGGATAAAGAAGATGTGGTCCATACATACAATGGAATATTACCCAGCCATCAGAAAGGATGAATACCCAACTTTTACATCCACATGGATGGGACCGGAGGAGATTATGCTAAATGAAATAAGTCAAGCAGAGAAAGTCAATTATCATATGTTTCACTTATTTGTGGAACATGAGGAACAGCATGGAGGACATTAGGAGAAGGAAGGGAAAAATGAAGGGGGGTGGGAATCGGAGGGGGAGACGAACCATGAGAGACTATGGACTCTGAGAAACAAACTGAGGGTTCTAGAGGGGTGGGGGATGGGTTAGCCCAGGGATGGGTATTAAGGAGGGCACGTACTGCATGGAGCACTGGGTGTTATACGTAAACAATGAATTGTGGATCACCACATCAAAAACTAATGATGTACTGTATGGTGACTAACATAACATAATAAAATTAAATTAAAAAAAAAAACTTATTTGGTCACCCACCTGGCATATGGCAATCAGAGGCAAGATGAATCCTTTGAGGCAAAGGGCACCCCCACTTGAAAACCAGGAATCTGTACCCCATTCATAGGCTCACAGAAGGGCTAAAGGGATGAGTTACCCAACAGGGGGCCCAATACATTCAATCATCTATTCATGTTGTGATATAATAATTTATATAGTATTGCAATATCTGTATATAATATCATAATATTATATGTATATAATATTATACATGTATATCATGTCCTATGATAAAGATGGCTGTCTCATTTAATGCCCAGTCAAGGCCAGGCTGTACACGAAGAACTTATGGACACATTATCTTGAATTGTCACATCAACCGTACAAAAAGGATGCTCTTCTATGTTGTATAGATGATGTAGAAGAATTTAAAAGCAATGTAAGCTCAGAGAAGCTACATGATTTGCATATGACTCTAGATGTTCCACCACTCCACATTACAACTTTCATCTTAGACTTCTGTTGTTTATATAACTTTTAAAATTTAGCCTAATTAAACCCTGTAAAAAATATTACACATAAGGAGAAACACAAAGCCACTCTTACTCTCCAGGCAGGAATAATCTCGTGGGGCTTGCTCTAAGTTTGACCACCTATAGCGGCGTAGATCGGGGGATAGGTCAGAGCTGCCGACGCTACCCACTCCTGCCTGCCCCCTCTTTGGTTCCCTTCGGTCCTCCGGGAAGACTCCAAGTCCAAGGCCCTTCGGAGTCTGTGCCTGCTTCACCGTTTGTCCAGCTCTTATCTCCTCAGCCCCACTGCTCATTTCCAACAGAGTCCATTTGACATTAAAATAGGACAGAAATTGCAGAAAAGGAGCAGGCAGTGGAATGAAGCTAAAGCTTGCACGTGGAGGGAACACGGACAGAGGACAAAGTCATTACGTTTGAAGGGTTATTCTCTCATTTTTTCTTTCTGGCACTTATCTCTGGTCTCATTCTAAACAAATATTTTGTGGTGGGGCTTGAAAGAAATAGGTTTCAATCTCAATTTAACAGGACATTGATTTGTGTGAAAGTTAAGCAGGGAAAAGGGGAAACCTAGAAACGTGTGGAATTGTTTTAAAGACATTGAAATTAAGGATGAATTTTTTCGAATGTTACATGCTACACATTTCTAATATAATGTTCTTTATAAATATAACTGGTACTCAAGACATCTGCTTAAAGTATATATGGTCTGTGACTATGACGATCTATAATTACAAAACAGGATTTATTAAACTGCTATTAAAGTTAAATTATTTCTGTAGTAAAAACACTACCATAATTGGAAATCTTATGCGATATGTTTCTTCTGGTAGAATTTGATCTATGGAAACATAGCCACTTTGGAGGATAGTTTTAAGTTTTATAGCTGGAATGCTCCAATTTTGTAATATGACCCTCTGGAAATCCAGCTTACTGCATTCTGGCATTGTACTGACAGGTTTCTAAGATAAGTATAACATGAAGCTGAAGCTAATATTTTTTCCCCCTCAAATGTCAGAAAGGTATTAAGCAGAAAAATAGTTGAATGTAGAATTCCTCGTGCATGCATTTCGAAATGTTCCAAAATAATTAACCTTGTTTTGGGACCAATTAAGCCTAGGGTATAAATTATAAATTCGCACATTGATAAAATCTAAACAGGGATATATTCCTAAAGCCGGTTTCTTCTTTTGTTAAGCATGTGAACATCTGTGAGTTAAAGAATTAATCCAAAAGTATGAGAAAGATGTAAAAACCAACTGCTTTTGTTTAATAATCTAGTGATTTCTCTCTCTGTGGTGGCTGAACTTACTCTTTTTACAGGTTTCCTTGGGGATGAGGGAGATTCTAATTGTCTTTTGAACATCGCTGGTTTTCTTCTTGTATACGGTACAAAATGATGCTTAGATTCAAGTTGCAGATTCTACTGTGGGACACCGAAAGCATTAGCCCAGGGCGGTGGGAGCCACCGGCTCGTACTCAAGTGAGGGAGGGGAGACGTGTGCTAGAGCTCATGGTCCATGACGGTCAAGCACAGAAGCACATGTTTATGTATGAGAGGAGTTCCAGAGAGACAGCTTTTACGATGAAAACACGGACATAGCAATACCACATTTACCATAGGTTTCCGTGAGGATTATTGAGGAGAGACCCTTACTAATCACACACTTGAAAAACGTTAGCTACAACTGAGACTTTCTGGGGGTGGCTTCTCTTTGATTTTTCCAGGTTTTAAGTAACTCCCTCTCTGTCATCTCCCTATCTCTGTTCTCTTTCTCTCTGCCATCTCTACGTCTCTCTGCAGTTAACTGGAGGCTAGATACGATGGGCGAACTTAGGGCTTCTTTAATGAACCGTAATTGAACGATGTGCACGCATAGAGTCGTTCTATAATCCCATGGATATTTGATGCTGCTATACAGTAAAAATAGGAAGTCTGAATAAAAAAATACTCGAATAAGTATTTTCCATAAAGTAGAAATGCTGTTACTAAAGTTGTAAGTTTATTAAATCATAGGAGATTCACTTAGTAACACCCAGTTTTTTAGTTTCCTGAAACTTGTCTCAAAGTCCCCATTAAGTCTTCTGCCATTCAGGTATTTTGGAATGGATATTAACTCACTCCATTATGAGCATTCTTAAGCTCCCATAACTCCAGGTGAAATCCTTTTTACTAAATATATTTACTATTCAGTATACAAGTAGGCCCTACTCTTGAACGACAGCTGAAGACTTTCTGAGGATTCCGTGATTTCCTGAATAGTCTGCCTGATTAACCAGACTTTTAATAGCAATTTATGAATAATAAAAAATAGTGATTCTAAACAAAGGAGTTGTATGTGGCAGGAACACTGTTTTTTTGTTTGATTTTTTTTTCTTGTATGTACATGAGCAGATCATGTCACAAAATTTTCATGCAGTGTTCCACTAGATTGCTAACTTATTTACATGACTGTCAGGAATTAATTTCAAATGTTGATTTAACGCTGTGCATATGAGAAGTATGGAAATTTAAAGTCAGAAACATAAAAGAAAATTAGAAGCCCATCTTTTCAAGAGGAATAAAAGGAAAATCACACTCCCAAGGAACAAATATACATCCACTGCCTGCCAGAAATCACCACAACTTGCTAGTACCTTTGTTAGGGTAAAGCATGTTCAACTGAGCTCACCAGTGCTTCCAAAGCTTATCGAATAATTAAAACACATAAATGCATCAGCACCCATACACTTATAATCAGCACTCACCATCAACTAAATAGCTACAAATTATCGATTTTTCTTTTTTTAGAAATGAGAGAACATATATTAAAACTCCCCAAGCCATATTTTAATAATATTGCTTTAAAAATTCATCTTAAATCAATTAATAAGAACTGCAATTTTAACAGAAACTCTCTAAAGGTAGAATTACTACCAAGAGAAAGGACAAACTCAAAACTTACTAATGTATTCAAAAGACTATTAAAAAAAACTTTACAATTTAATTATTGGAAGATTATAGAACTGCTTCAGTGCTTCTGTACTGAGTAAGTAAGCTGTACGTGTGAGGAGTAATAAATGAAATTGTTAATTTTACTGTTTCTCTAGGGAGTAGCAGGGGAAGAGTGGGAGTTATGCTTTTTAGATCTCCCAATGGATCTTGGTTTATAAGCAATAATAAATCCTAAGTATGTTACTAATTAACTCCACTTCAAACCACTCCCTTTTTTTAGGGCTTAAAAGACACTTGACTCCTGGGATCACTCACCATTCATATTCTTAAAGATGTTCAGGATGGGGAGGATTTGCCGGTAATAGGGCACCAAAGCTTCACCCACCATCTCAGCGGACACAACCAGATGCTGGAGGACTTTAAGAGTGACGCAGATGACCTGTCGGTTTCGAAGGTTCAAGGCATCTTCAAGGTAGGACAAGGAACAAACCGAAAATAAGAAGCATTAATTCCTACAATGGTAAGGTGAAGTCGACTTGTAGAACGCTAAACTGAACTGTATTAGGTTAGCTGGATGAACCTTTATTACTAGTTTTGAATGATGCCAGGTAGCCTTTAATGTTATAAATGAGATCTTGTTTGTTAATTATTTGTTCTTCCAGTTTGTGCCCATCCCTTACCAACCCTAAGAAAGCCGCTCATCGTCCTTCACAGAAGATGCTGGTGATGGACAAGATCCGTTAGCGTCGCTGGGGTAAAAGGGCCCCATGAAGGCCGACAGATAAGTTTCTATGCAACAGTCCTTTCCAGTTAACAACCTACGTGATCCTTAAAACCATTACCACGAAACAAACATTTATTTGGGAAGGGAGAACTGGGTGTGGTGTGTGTGAGAAGAAACTACAGGCTATAACAAACAACGACAAGGTTCTTGGTAGAAGTGAACATGAAGCGACTGTAGTTAGACTCTCAAGAAAGCAGGAAAGAAAAGCAACAGTTTTAAAGCTCAGAACTTTAGAAGGAATCAACAGTAAATAAGAGACCCAAAGAATGCAAAATGGTTTTAAAGAACAATTCTAAATGCACAGTAACAAGCTACACTAGAGAGATTGGATGGAAACAGTAAGTAAACTGGTTGTCCCCCCACTTGCTGGGTCTGGAAGGTACCATTCGTTCCAGCGGGGAAAGCAGAGGACTGGGGACCAGAATGCTGGTAATTGGCTGTAGGAACTTGCCAACTCCCCGACATGGTCTCAGTTTCCTCAATCATGGGAATGTATTATTTATTTTCTAAAATGACTAAAAGTTCCAAGACTTAAATAGAAGGGTTATATAAAGCATGTATCATAGAACGTCAGAGGTGGTGACAAACTGATGGCCCCAGACTATTCCAAAAGAAAGTCAATGCCTCTTATTTGTAAGATGTTCCATCTTCTAAAGAAAAGATTGGCTATGATTAACCTATGTGTCATTTATGGAAGAACAAAAGGAGCCAGGCTACCAAAAGGGATGACGCCATGGTCAATATATGTGATGCAGTCCTGACGTTATTTTTGAACTCTAGCTCACATTTCTAATAGCCAGGATCTTCTAGCACCTCAAATTCAGTGTGTTCCAAAGATAAGTTTCATCCATAAACTTTATATTTTTCCTATATTCCCCATATTAGCAATGACACAACCAGATCCCCAGCCTTCCAGGGTCAAAATGTTGAGTATCTCATATATCTATTGAATATTCTACTGAAAGTGAAAACCAGATGGTTGTATGGGTACAGAATCGTGAGTGTATCAGTTGTTCATCATTGCATGGCTGACTGGCAATTGCAGCTCATTGCCACCTCCCAGCATCATGAGAGAATATTCTACCGCATATCACTAGCCCAGAAAGAAATTCACAAATCAAAGTTCAGTTTCTACTGAATCCATTTGGCTTTCACACCATCTTAAAGTTGAAAAATCCTAAATCAAACAATTTTAAGTTGAGAACCGTCTGTAAACACAAATGTGGTGAATGGAGATGGCTCAGCTTTAACTCCGGGAACCAATCTAAACATAACTATGGAATTTCGATTGTAGGATGGCTCGTTACCACAGCATTTAGACACACTGCAGGCCATACCCTATTCTGAAAACAACTAGAAATAGAAGGCTATAATTTACCCTAAAAGTTGTAGTAATAAGATTTTCAAAAGCAAAGTGCCAGAGGTAAGATAGAAAGGGCGAAGGGCAGGTATAGTATCTCACAGACAGTAGTGGGGGCTCTTTTTCTGGTTTTGTCCAATCCAAAATGTTTTGTTTTTTTCAGGTAGCCAAGTACTGAACCCTGCCTCCTGACCCAGCTCAGTTTAACAAATGAGAACTTGGGAACCAGCAGAAATGTTGCTATGAGGATTATGGGCAGTAAACACTCTTTCAAAAAGTCTACCAATGAAGTTAAACATGTTTAGGAACCAGAACTGCATAAAGCTGTGTGATAGTTTACGCAGTAGTACCCATGAATAGTGAACAAATACTACAAGTTTGAAATATTCATAAGAAAGGGTATTTAAACAGCAAATCTAAAGGGGCATCCAGCCCAGTGGAGAGAGTAAAGAAGGCTCCTAGACACAGGGACAGACTCGAGGGATGAGTAGCGGTTATTTAGGTGAAGAGTATTCCAGGAGAGGGAACAGCATGCTAGAGGCTGTCTCCTCTTAGATAAAAAGAGTCCTCCTTCTACAAGGTTGACTCCAGCTCATAGGGATAAAGTTCTACTTAACAATGTGGGAACAAAACTCCAGATAGCATAGAAACAGTTTTCTAAATAGTTTTATCATTGTGTAGAGCCCATCTGACAATTGCAGGAAAGATTTTCATAGCCATAATGGCTGTAGAATATTGGCTTTCTCAGTTTTCTTCTTTTAGAATATGCATACCAATGCTTGCAATAAGCCTAGAATATGCTCATTTACTATCAATGTTAGAGTTCGCCATATAGAATATATTGATTAAGGAGTAAAGTTTTTGTATCTATGAGTAATAATAACATCAAACTTTTGTTGATTAGGTTTATGCCTGTCTGTATAGATAATTGATCACATGGAAATAAACAATCTCTCTCACCATGGATGGTAATAACAGCTATCAGGAAATAATTATTTCATTTTACTGCAACCTTGATTGAATTAACATGTTTGTGATAAGTGTTATTGGATTGACAATGACTGACAAGTATAAGATGTGTAAACCATTACTCTTAATGGCATCTAAAATGGAACTCTGAGTCTCCTAAATGACCAGGGAATAGATCTAAAACCTCTGTACTCACTGTGAAATAAAGCCAGGGTATGCACTATAAAAGCCGCTGAACTTCGTCCAAGAGGGATTTTTTTTTATATTGCCCCTTTCCACTTCAGTTCCTTTATTTTTCTTCCTCATTCTTGAGGAATTAAGATATACCATTAAGTTGGAAGTCTTTTTGTTCTTACCATCCCAATGGAATTAAATAAAAAAGGGCTTTTTTTTTTGGAAACAAAATTCTTTTCCTTTGAAAAGGTATGTTAACAGATATAAAGAATATGATTCTGTAGCTTGAAAGAGCAGAAATGTGTTTATTCTTGTCTTGATAGGCCTGAAAGCTATTGTCAAGACATAGTGAGGACTTTGAACTCAAGATTTAAGATTTTGAAACGGGTCTGACATGAGATATCTACTGACATTATAGATCAGCCAGTGGAACCTTTCTATTCAGAAAAATTGGATTTCTATTGTACTGCTTACTTCCTTCAAGTATAATCAACAAGATAAAGCTTCCAGATATATAGAAATTGCTGAAGAATAAGGAAAAAAATAATTTAAAGTCAAAGTGATAAAACTTATTCATCTTAGATGGTTATAAGTTACATGTATGATTTTTCGCAAACATAAAATCCATTATTGCTATAATTTTTGCAAAGTGTGAACACTTTCTACTATTAGATATGATTCACTACTGGGGAATCAGGAAAAATGGAAATATTTCTACTTCACCAAACAAAATGCAAAAGCAAACAATAAAGTCTAAAAAATATTTTTGACATATGCTATAAATGTTAATATCCTTGATATACAAATAGCTATCACAAACCAATAAGATTGAGTTTGCTAATTTAAAAATGGGCAAGGACATTATATGTTAATAATAAAAAAGAGTATAAAGTTAAAAACAATGGGCAAGGAATATGAATAGATAATATACAAATTAATAAAATAATTAATATTCCAGAATGTTCAGCTTCATTAGTAATCAAAATAATACTACTTTATAATTTTGAATATCATTTAACAAAAAGTTTTTGAAAATTTAATACTCAGTGTGGACACAGTTTTGGGAAAAGAGGCACTCTCATAGATACCGTTTTACGAACCATCACAATCTTTCTATAGCAATATAGTAGTCCCCCCCAACCCCTTATCCATGGGGGATATGTTCCATAACCCCCAGTAAATGCTTGTAATATCAGATAGTACCAAAGCCCACATAGGCCATGTTTTTTTTCTATACATATTATCATAAAGTTTAATTTATAAATTAGGTACAATAAGAAATTAGCAATTATAACTAATAGAGCAATTATGACAATATACTGTAATAAAAGTTATATGAATGTGGCCTCTCTCCCTCTCTATCTTATTTACTGTACTCACCCTTCTTGTGGTGATGAGAGAGGACAAAATGCCTATGTGATGAGATAAAGTGAGAGGAATGATGTAGGAATTGTGACATAACATTAGGCTACTATTGACCTTCTGACATATGCCAGGAGGATCATCTACTTCTGGATTGCAGTTGACCATGGGAAACTGAAACCAAGGAAAGCAAAACCACGGATAAAGGTGTGTGTGTGTGTGTGTGTGTGTGTGTGCGCTGAGGTGGGGGGGCACTACTGTATGTGTATAGTATTTGACCCAGCTATTTCGCTTCGCTTCTGGGCATTTAGTCTAAGGAAGTATGCACCTGTGCAGAAAGAGTAATAGGGAAGGATGTGATAGATAATATTTATAATTAGAAACAATCTAAATGTTCCAAAAACAAAGGATTAAGTAAAATCAGGTATACCTATATAATGGAAAACTACAAAGTTACCGAAGTCATCTAATAGAAAAATATTTTTTAAAAAAATAGGAAAATGTTTGTAAGATACAGGTGAGGAAGAAAGTAGGTTATAAAGCTATGATCTCATTTTGTAGAATAGAATGTAAACAGAAATTTATATACTCAGCCACTAACAGTAGAGACTATCTTTTCTGTAGGCATACGTACACATAAGATTCTATTCCATTAAAAAAAAATACTCTTTTATACTACTTAAAAAATATTCAGCATATTTACCAAAAATATTCTTCACGATGACTTCATATATTTTAATTTAGTGGAATGTAGAATGCTCTCCTTATGAGTTCTCAGTATTTTCTTGATTATTCTTAACCATTTATACTTTGAGA